TTTAGAGAATTGTTTTAAGATAGCCCGAAGGATGTGAATGAGATAATGTTAGGCAGCTACTGATGACCTCTGCTGGCCTGGGCAGAGCTAAAGGAGCTGATCCCCTTTTCCCCCATTGATTTTACCAAACCTCAAAGCAAAATATTCTGCCTAGAGTTAAGCTACCTTAGAAGAGCATAGTCTTTTGTCTTCCTTAACATAGCCTGACAGTGTTTAGGTTTCCCAACTATATCCCATAGTCTACTACTTCAACAACTGTAGTAGTTATAGTTCCCTTGCCATAGCCAAGTTTCATGTTCACTCACACTGAGATTTTTTTTTTTAGATAAAATAACTTGTTTTTGCAGGTTGGTTGGTCAGTGTGATTCAGCCTTGATATTATTTTTATTACAGCAGCATAAATATTTACTGTTAATTAAAACAAAAAAGCCAGCTCCACAAGGTTTGGACCACAGTATGTGAACAAACACAATGGATACAGAACAAAAAAAATGATTCCCTCCCCACACACACAAATTAGCCTACACATTTAAAGAGTGTAAACTGTTGTATGGTATAAATTGATTTCTCCTTAATTTGATCCCCGAGGGACTAATGGCCATATTACAGGGTGTCTCAAAAAATGTATATATACACTTTATATACAGCTGATAGCTAAATTTTCAAAATGAGATGCATTTTAATAAGCACTGTCTTTATAATTATTCAAAGTGGGAATATACATTTTTAGGGGACACCCTGTATGTTATATATAATTTCACATTCAGGAATAATTTTAGATTTGTTATACTATTACTAGTACATTTCATTCCAACCGAATTTGTTTTTCCATTCATATTTCTATTCACAATATATGTGCACCTCAAATTTAAGGAGGAGCCTAAATCCTCAATTTAAAAATACTGACATCTGACTTAAATACTTCTTAGACATGTATTTATTAACTTCAATGAAAAACTAATTTAGACATCACTGAATTTTTATAATTGAACAATTTGAATCTTTTTGTAAAAAAAGAGATATGATAAAATGGTGTTATTCTACAAATTCAGATCTACTTCTACATTTCTGTTAGTGTTGGAAGCACCAGTGCATTTATAGACCTGTTGGCTTCCCCGTAAACAGAAGAAGCTAAGAAGTAATTTAAGTGTATCCTCAGCTTCTCTTTCTCCTATGCAGAGGAGAAAGAGGAATATATCAATGGATGACTGTTGAAAAGACATAGATGGTTTAACCTGGGAGAAGAGAAAATTTTCCAGTCCCTTTATTGTTCTTGGACCCAAGTTTCCTATGAATGTTCATCTTTATTAACAAAGAATTATGGCTCTGTAGCTTTCCCAGTATCCAGTAAGTTTTCTTGGAGCTTACCTCATATAGTTATGTATAACAAGAAAATTACATGTAGATCAGAATGTTGCAAAAAAAAAAATGTGTAATAAAGTGTGCATATATCTCATTTATCTATTTTCATAGGTTTCAAAACTAATTTCCACACTGTAGCCAGAATGACCACATCACCCTTGCTTACTGCTTTACTGATTTGGGTATATTCTTAGCATAAATATGAAGTTGATTAGCATTGTTTACAAGAAGCTGAAAGGTGTGACCTTCTTCTACCTCTCTAGCCTCATCTGGTACTATACTTATTTTTCTTGCAAGTTTTATTACTTTCTAAAACACACTGAAAGTCTGCTTCTCCCACCTAGAGGGCCTTTGTCTATTTATTTTCTCCTTCTGAAAAGCTCCTTGACGACCCTCCACATCTTTGCTTAGTTAACTCTATTCATCTTTCTGCTAATTTCTTACTTTTTTCAGCCATATCTTCCCTGTACTTAAGCTTCTCAAACTTGGTTAAACTGACCCCTAAGCATCTGTCTTATTTGTACATCTTATTTAGTTTTAGTTTATTTGTATGATTACTTTATTAAATTGTCTCCTCATTTGGACTATAAATTGCATACAAGAAAGGAGAAGGTAACTCTGCTTTTTCTTACTATGGTTTCAGTATCCTTAATTCTTGATATAGCACCTAATATATATGCAATTCAGGATTTTTTTTAAAGTTAAAAATAAATGAAATGAGTAAATAAATTAATTTTATACTTTTTAATATATTCTAATCTCTCTCTCTCTCTCTCTCTCTCTCTATATATATATATATATATATATATATATATGTTAGCTGAACTTGTGAAGAAATTTTTGATGCCCTGTGGGAACCTACTTTTATATTTTAACTAGTGGCCTAGTGCATGAATTTGTGCACATCGAAAGGAAATTAATTAAAAGAAATATTTTCATATCATTATTCACCCTTTCTCTATAATAGAAGTGTCAACCAAATTCATGATCCACAAATGAGGGATCAAAACACATGCAGGTGATTGGCATCAGCGAGAGCTTTATATGTATTGTGCATGCGCAGTCAACTTAGCTTTTTATAGATATAGAATAAACTTAATTAGACCCGCTTTCTGATTTAGCTCAACTTTTTCCAGCCCAGTGAAGCACCCAGCTTCTCTTTCAGGTAATTGTCAGCAACCTAGCAACATAACACAAAGCAGATTATTATTGTAGATCATACATGGAGAACAAAGGGTAAAATATTTCCCTACAGCAGTGTTTGACTTTATTCTGTGCAGTGAGAAAACATGAAGTCATTTTCGAGGTCCACCATTTCTTACTTCTTTTCAGTTGGGTCAAGTTTCTAAGCTTTCTAAATCTCCATTTTCTGGCTAATGAAAGAAAATAGGATTCCACCGAGTCTCCTATCTACGTACTCCAGGACTTTTGTGAGGATCAAATGAGATGAAGCATGGGAAAACACTTCACAGACATTTGGTTAAAGTGTAAAATGTTTCCACCTGGCTATAAAGCAAGTCATGTTCCTGGACTGCAGAAACTCCAAGGAGGCTAGTTGCTAGGAAGAGAAGCCAGGTATTGCTATGTGACATCATTACCTAGTGCCCACAGCGATTGTTTCTGGGCTGAGCTATGGGCTGCATTTTGTCCTATGGGGTCTCAGCAGTGTCAGCTGCAATTTGGTGGGCTGTGACTTGGGGGTGGTAGTGGGGCCTGTGTCCCACTTGGGGGAAGCCGACTGTTGCTTTGTGGGTGCCAGGTTCACAGTGTCCTTTCTCTATAAGTGGTCATGGCAGCTCCTATGTTGAGAGTCTGCCCTGTAGTGGTCAGTGCACGTCATAGTGACTGGTCAGAAGATCAGACACTTAGCATATTGGCCGTATATATTCCTGGATCAAGAAGTTCTCTCTTTTACCATGCTGAAATAAAAGCTGATTTAAAAAAAATCAAATTGATTAGCTAGAAAGAAAGCTGATCACTATCCTTGATACATTATTTGTTCCTTTATCAGTGAAATGTATCTCTGTCACCTTCTCAACTATCTTATTTTTCTTCTAATTTTAACTTTAGGTCATCTTTCCACTCAGTGAATCTTTAAGGGATAAAGATATTGGCAGTTTGTTTAGGACTTGGATTTGCATTGAGTATCCCAAGGTAGTCTTAAATGTCTTAGCTTTTCTGCCGACATCAGACTTACCCTCTGGGAATCATATACCGGAGTGGGCAAAAGTAGCTTTACAGTTGTGAGTTCAAGAAACAGTTAATGAAGCTACTCACTAATCATAAGCTGCATATATATATATATATATATATATATATATATATATATAATTTTTTTTTCCAATTAGGAACAACTGTAAACCTACTTTTGCTAACAAGTGCTAGCCAGCATCTCCTGAGGCTCCCTTTCTCCAAAGGGCTGCTCAGGAAATGTGGCCACTCCTAATTAAAATATGTTTAGTTTTTCAGATTACCCTGGTGCTCTCTTAGCAGGAATTAAAGGGGTTTCATAAGGAGATTGGAAGTCTCTTCTTCCACATGCGCAAAAACTGGCAATCTTTGTCCCCTTTGACAGCTGGTGGCATCTTTCTGAAAAGCTTTCAAATGATAGATCATTTCTTCATAATGAAACTGTGTGGCTTAAACACAGAGGGTTGAAATTCTTATCTTATGCTGCAGTAAAATGCTCTAATTTTGATTCACAAAAGGATTCCGTACTCTTTACTTTGGAGAGCTGTGCAATTTGCCCATAAAAAGACTGTTCAGCACCATTAGTGCATACCATAAGTGTTCACTGACATCATATTCATTAAACAGCACATCCTTATGCATAACCTCCTCAACCTCGAATGTGTTTTTTCCTTTGAAGAATGACGAATGACAAAGGGGCGAGAGAGCCCCCAAGCAATACTGTTGGCTGTAAGGATGAACTTGGGAACTTTAACTTGATCCCCTCACATGAAAAAAACAAAACAAAAACAAACAAATAAACAAACAAAAAAACAGGTTCAATCCTTTCTTACCTAAGGCAAGACCATTTGTTTGTCGGTTAGTTTCATGGCCAAGAGAGTGACCCCTGACTTCTGAGCTTCAGAGACAAATCTTTGCACAATAGAAAAATTTCATGAGGGCAATGACCAGAAAATTCCTTAAATAACATCTACTGAGAACCTACCTATCTCTTAGAGCCTATGTTAGTCCCGGAGGGTAGAGGTGATTATAGAATATTAATACAAGCCATCGTTTCTAATACTTGGAGCTAAATATCATCTGTTTCCTAAATTGATCTGATAGATTGGGGGGCGGGGGAGGGGAGAGGCATGGGGTAAAAGGGAAAGAATAGGGTAGGTAGTTTTGCTTTGTTTTGTTTTTAAGAGTGAAATGGAGAAGAGCCAGAGAGAATTATATTGGGAACAATAGTTGTTCTTGGCAGGGCCAGCTACTAAACCTAGCATCAATTCCATTGCTACTCCATAGTGTTCCTGCACTCACAATGACCTCCAGCTATTCTCCCAGATCTATAAGTGTGGTGGGGCAGTCCCTTTCTAAATCTGCCCTCCTCCCACCCCTTTTCCCTTTCCCCAGTTTCATTCATACTTTTCTCAAACTTGTGAGCTATCTTCTTGTTTCCATTGCAGGTACACCTGAGAGCCTGGCAGAAAAAGAACGGCAGCTCTCTACCATGATTACCCAGCTGATCAGTTTACGGGAGCAGCTCCTGGCAGCGCATGACGAGCAGAAAAAACTGGCAGCCTCACAAATTGAGAAACAACGGCAGCAAATGGACCTTGCTCGCCAACAGCAAGAACAGGTGAGCCCTGCAAAGGGAGCTGACGAACTGGAGATGTCGAACGTACCAAGCTCGGCGAGCAATCACTTTGATCGGTTTATTTGTCAGAAGGGCGCCTAAAAAAGGAGAGAAAGAAGCCTTTTGGAAATCAGGGTCTTTGAGAATACCGAGGGGGATATGTAGAGGACAAAGAAAGGCATCATAGCAACTGGGCATCACTGAAATGATAACCTCCTTCCAGAACATTTGCCTGTGGTCACTTACCCGGGGAAGCTGATTCACATAGGCAGGCAGCACACAGACTCCTAGTGTAGCTTAAACAGGAGTTCGTCACATCTCTCTGGGCCTTACTCTTTTCATCCAGAAAAACAGGCCTCTGGTTAAGGAAAACTTTCAGGACCTTCTAGCCCAGTGGTCGGCAAACTCATTAGTCAACAGAGCCAAATATTAACAGTACGATTGAAATTTCTTTTGAGAGCCATTTTTAAAAAAAAAAACTTAAGCGGTATAGGTAGGTACACTGTTATTAACTTAACGAGGGTACTTCTAAACTAGCCTTTGCTAAAAACGCAAAGGGCCAAAGAGCCACAGTTTGCCGACCACTGTTGTAGCCCTTGGATCCAATGATTTTTCTCTGACTTTAAAACTAGGGTCACACATCTGTTTTCCCAGAATAGCCCCAGTTAATGCCTGTTTTCCAAAATAAGTATTAATAATCCCCCTTCCACTTGCAAAAGTTGTCCTGCTTTGGATGCTAAATTATATGGTCACTCTATTTGTAGAATAGGTAAATCATTGGGAAAAAAATTAGCACATGGCTCCTATAAGGATTTTATTTCATTGATTCAGAAGTGAGAAAGAAGAAAAAATAGCAAAGTTTAAATATATGTGTTTTTAAATAAATCGCTCTCCCAAATGTTTTTCCTGTCTCGTAAGAGTACATTAATCTAACACAGTGATCCTAAAGAGCAGTCCCTGGTGCTTTAGATCAGACAGACCCAAATTAATGTGCAGTTTTTAGGAATCTGACATTATTACTGGAATTATCTTTTCAGTTAAATGTATTTTATAGGGGTATATAGAGCAATATATGCTCTGTTGATTTTAATGAGTTGTGACGTCTGGTATTTTATATGCTTGAATATTTGCCCACGTGTAGGAATATGGACTCAGCCCCTAATGGAAAATAACATAAAGGAACACTGTAAAAAATCAGAAGTTAGAATGTCATTTACCCATCCAGAGATGACACAGTAATTAACTATTGACACTTGTGAATAAGCTAGCACAAATTAATCTTGACACATTTGCAGACGAGTGATATCTTACAGTGAACACTTTGTAATTATATTTCAAAATGAAAATTAAATGACACTTAAAACTAGGTTGTCATGCTCAATGAAGCAAGCATGTAGCTCAACCGATTGGCAAATAAAATTCAGAATTTGAGCCACATGGTGCTTATGTACCATACTTCACTGTGTCAAACCCACACGTCTAGAGTGGATGATAGTAATTGCACTGTGGTGTTCTAGAGGCATTTCTGTGCAGCACTTTATCATTTAGGAGGGACCATCAATATTAGATGCCTCGTGGTGTTTCACTGGTTTGCTAAGAGGAAATAAATATTCAGAGAATACAGCATCTAAACCTAGAGTCACAGAGTGAGCTGTCCATTTCCTTTAAAAAATAATTAATTTTTATTCTTCAATTACAGTTGACATACAATATTATATTAGTTTCAGGTGTACACCCCAGTGATTATACATTATATAACTTACTAAATTATCATCCCAATAATTCTCATACCCATCTGACACCATGCATAGAGTAGGTATTATACATTTATTGACTATATTCCCCATGCTGTACTTTACATCTGCAAATATATTTGTAACAACCAATTTGTACTTTTTAATCTCTTCATCTTTTTCACCCATTCCCCCCCCCCAAAAAAAATTACTATGTCCTTTTCTGATTTGAATGGTGACAAGCAAAGTGGGCCTTTTCAACCTGATTAGCTATCATTTCCTGTTTGCTTATAAAGTTTTGGGGAGGAATGGTCCTGTTTCTAAATTGTTAGGGACAGCTTTCCATGACTTCCAGAGTGAGCTAGTCATTTCCAGAAACCTTAAAGCAACATTTGGTAGCATAATGCTATTTTTGTCATCTTCTGTTGAATGGAAATCTGATTTGGGTGTTTCCCCCTGCTCTAGGCTAAAGCATCAAAAAGATTCAAAGCATAAACCTGGGGGTTGATCCACACTTGTTTTCACTCCCCACATTGCCCATTCTAGAATACTGGCTTTTAGAAATAGAAAAACAAATAGGAAACAAATAAACAACAACCCCATATCTATAAATCTTGCCTAAAGGGGAGCACTAAAAAAGTCTTCTAAGTCCTCCCTGGCCACTTTCTCTCTGGCTTTCTAAGTTGGAGTGTCTTCTAAGGGGCATCCCCCTCAGCTCAGCTTTTAAGGCAATAAGCAGACTGATGCCTTCATGTTTTATAGTAAACACCACCTGCTCTCCTGAGTCAGTCTTCAGTGAGGCTTGCATGAAGTGGTTAATATTTCTTTTCCTAGACCAGATGATGTGTTAGGGTGTTGAATTTGATTGTTGGGTGAAGCAAGAGACTGTAACACATTACCCTCAAAAGGAGAACTAGATAGATATTAAATTTTGTTTTTAAAATGCTTTATACATCACAAAGAGATATTTGTAACAACTTTTGATATTTTGCTGTGTATTCTTGATATTCCCTTGAAGATATTTGTCTTATCAGTCCTGAGAGTCCTTATATCAAAAAACGTTTCACCAAAGTCAATTGCATTATAATTAATAAAAAGTTCTTTCCTGTCTCTGCATACAGATTTTACTTTTGTAGTCCAAATTCAGCTCTTTAGAAACAGGAAGCCATAGTTTTTCCATATTTACTCTCCAAGGGTCAGATTTCAAAACTCCCATTCTTTCCAGGTAATGGGTGCAGATAGAGGAACTGCTCACAAATGTACAAGGGGTAGATCTCACCTGCAGGTGAAGAGCTAGGGGTAAGCAGAGAAGTGGCATCTGTTTGAAATTTTCCTTTTCTCCAAATTTCTGGTTTTGCCTCTCTCACTTTGTAGGAACTCGTGAACATAGAAATGCAGTAAAACATTCTTGTAATACCAGGAGAGATACCCTAGGTAACGGCAAAGGTGTAAGCATTTCATTTCAACTTAATGTAACTTTATTTCTGATAGATTGCAAGACAACAGCAGCAACTTCTGCAACAGCAGCACAAAATTAATCTCCTGCAGCAACAGATCCAGGTCAGTGTATTTTATTACTCTCGTTTGATTATACTCACAGACTTTCCTCCTTGAAAATGGAATTTAAAATGCTGCCAATGCACCCCTCTCTTATAAACAGCACCGAAGTAGTTACTCTCAAGGATGTTGTGTACCACGGTATAAGTGGATGCAGGAAATACCACCTAAGTGGTGGTCTAGAGCATTCTTTTCTGACGTGATGCATATGCAGGAAAAAACCTTATCTTTTCTTCTTTCTGCCATTTGCCTGACAGAACCTAGTGGAAACCTAGTGGTTTCCAAGGTAGCGTACACATGCTATTTTGATTGCCACAAGCCAATTTCTGCTTTGTGTTTCACCATCTAACAGTATCATGGGGAGAAGCATGTGCTTGTTTACTTGTTAGTATTCTCTGATTGGGCCAGTTATGAGAAGAATCTTATGACCTGGGAAAAGGTTGGTAATAATTGATTAGTTCTTTAACAGCTATCACTTGCATTTCTGTTAGATGATGCTGAGGGGAATCTAAAGATTAATGAATAATTGTCTGTCTGTAGGAGCTTATAGTCAAGAAAGGAAGAATAACTTGTCTCTGAATCATTGTAACACAATTTAGAAATTCTCTTTTTTTGTTGTGGCAGAGTAACCCTGTATATAGATCATGATGACAATGGCATGGGAAGGAATTTTGATTTCTGTCTTTCCTTTAGACACATGGTGGTTAATTCAGCTCATGGCTATTTCAGATAGGTAAGGGATTGGTCTCCATTTCTGAATAGGAACATGGGTATGGTTGTCTGGGGATTGATACTCAGAAATACGGATGCCAGAGTTATATGTACTCACCACAGCCTCTGTGGTTTCTGTTGGCTGCTGTGGCTGTTTTCTAACCACTGGGATCTGTGATTCAGCCTAGTTGGGGCAGTATATTCTGAATTGCATTATTCCTATCCTTGAGATTAATATTATTACACCTTCCTGTATTCTTAAGAAAACATTCACATAATATTGTAGCTTACTCGAATCTTCTTCCTTACTGATGAAAGCCAGTGATTTCAATGTAGATTCTGCTTCATTTTTGTTAATCACCCGTAGTGTCTCAGGTAGCACTCACTGCATTTAAAATAATGATTAAGTGCCTGAAGAAGTACCTGTACCTGATTTGGCTATCTTCATGCGGAGGTTTTAACCAGTGGTTTGTTATGATGGTTGTTTTAAAATTAGTTCTGATTTCACATTTTGTATTCAAGTGAGTATGTCCAGCTATCTTCACGAGGGAGGTTTTAACCAGGGGTTTGTTGTTGTGGTGGTTGTTTTAAAATTAGTTCTGATTCTATATTCCATACTCAAGTCTATGTGTTTCAAAGTAAAGGGCCCAAATGCAGAAGAAATGGAATGTCTCTGGCATTTTTGACAGCCAGCCTTCACAATTAAATCTTGGAATAATTTCTCATCCTGGTATCTCTTTTATAACTCATGCTGAGATACTTAATTAAATAACTGTCCAGGTGTTCCCTTGTTCTGTCCTTATTAGAATTTTCAGTGTGTCTCCCATTACTAAGGTCAGGATTTTTAGCCTGTGCCTTCCTACATTTTTCTCTAGTTCCTTCTCTAAGAACTCAGTGGGTGTTAAATAACCTGATCATTTAGTTCTCTCTGTTTCTCATATTTGTAAAGTAGGAATGGAAGAAGTTCTCCATGCTCCCATGTCAGTTACTTATTATTAATGTTTTTATTGCTTCTTTATTACTTCTTCATTTATTTTGAATATATTTCACTTATTAATTCAATGTTGTTTATATTAAGTGACCATTTTAATAGTGGTACCAAGGCTGTCAGATGAATAGCAACCAATTCAGAGTATTTTTATGAATACTATTGCTGTTTATTGATTACATATGATTTTATAGTCACAGCTTGCCTATATGAAATTGATGTCTTTTTCAGGAAACTTGATCTTAAAATATTACTCATTAGATTATTCAATGTGAAAATATAGGGAAAAAGTTGGTCCAGGTTTTTCAATAGAAGTTTAATTGCCTTTAAGATTTGTATATATTTCTCATTGTTTAAATTTATAGAAATTGAAGCTGATCAGCACTTGATCTCAGGTCTTTATGTTATAAAATCACAGAGAGATTTAAAGAATCAGTTATATTCATTTTAGAAATATAGGATTCTTTGTAACCAGAATTCCATTGTAAAAAATAAGAGGAAGCAATAACCTGTATTTACAGTTCTCTATTCTGAGCTACTTTTCACTGCATAGCATGTCAGTATTTATCTTATCAGTATGAGACCATTAACAGAATTTTTCAAATGCTAAAAAATACTCCTTACACAAGTATTCATCTCTGACACTTAAAAAGTGGGTATTTAATATTATGAATTTTAGTTATTTTTTGAAAGGGAATGGGTTAACAGTATTTTCAAAAATGACTTTTGACAAGCCATAGACATGATCAAATTTAGGAGAGAGATTATTGTTGGGCTAATTTTTAATATATATGTTTTTGAGCAAAACATGAGACTTGAGATGTTTTCTATCATGAAAGAAACATTCTCCCTTTTGAATACAAAACATAACTAAGTAAAATAAGATAATAAATACAAAACCTAACATCTCTTCAGAAAGCAAATGAATATGGAGACCATTTGCGCAAGCTTGAAATTTTAACTTTTCTTAAAATCTTGAGCTAACATGGTCAGCAAGATTGGCTATGAATAATGAGGGTCAGGTTCTTATAGTCAAGATTATTTTTCACATCTAGTTCAGAATACTCACTTCTGAATTAGTTTTGTTGTTTTGGAATTTGCAACCTGTAATAGAAAGAAAGAAAAGATGTCTAACCTTTAGTAATAACACATCTGGGCCTATTATAATGGAAAGAAATGAAAACCTGAATGGTTTGCACAAATTTAAAAGCAGGATTTTTCATTAGGAATAGGAAAAGGCATAATTTAGGAGGTAGTATTGTAATGCTATTTTGCAGGCTTATTTTGTTTGCACTCATTCAAAAGTTATATATGCAGTTAAATAATTTCATTTACATATTTTCTTCCTTGAATATCATTTTTTAAGATAATTTGCCTTGGTAAAATCTAACTGAAATTTTAAAGGCATACTGTTAAGACCGTGTAGGCCTTGTAAGATGAATGATTTTGTGAACTAATGTTTTTATTTTTTTGATGAGTCAGTTTTTACCATTTTTAAAAATCAGGTTAATAACTAAACAATTATTAAAAATGCTTTAATATTAACAGATCTTTAAGGAGGCTGTTTGCTTAGTGAATTCAAATCCCTCTGTTTGTGCTTGGGGGAGAAATGGTGATTCCTCTAATTTGTTACATATTAAGTAATTCCTGCCATGTGAGCCCAGAAAAAGTTAGATGTTTTTGCTTTTTCTAGAACAAATATAGCACAGTTTTTATCAACTCTATGGAAAGCAAAACTAATAAATCATGGAATATGGATCCTTGGAGTTGGGAATGTTGAGTCTCATGCTATAATTCCAAAGGACAGATAACAGCTTCAGTGATTTCATCTCACTTCTTCCACCCATTGCACTATATGCTTCTTAGCCAGTCTCTTGAAGAATTTTATTTATTGGTTATGTTGATTAGAAAACAAAATTTATTTTTAACACATTGGACATATGAAAACATACAGTATTGTAATCAACTATTATATATACAGAGTGGGCAAAAGTAGGTTTACAGCTATAATACAAATAAATATAATACAATAGGTAATAAATAATAATGTAAGAATAAACTATTTCAGGTGTTTATAACTATAAACATATTGTTGACCACCCCTGTTAGTCTAGTCTAAGCAAACAGAAAATATTTTATAGATCCTTATTTTTTTGCTCCATCCATATAGTTATTCATTTACCATTATTTGACCATGTCATGGTTTTTAAATCCATAGACAATACTCTTTGTGGACACAACACACCACATTCTTTGGTTTTGATAGCATGTCAGTAGGAACACATTTAATGATGGAATTTTACTGCTAGATCCTGCTCATTAAAATATCTTTGTGAGAAACTTACTTCTGCAGGCATGAATGGTGTTATCTAATTATCCATGTCTGTTCAGACCCTGATTTTAGTCTTATTCAAGCAGCTTGTGTTATGTGCTATATAGGGAGTGTCCTTGCTTTGATTCAATGACCGAACAACTGTCTCTTAAGAATGCACTGGCTCATTGGGATTTTATTTGGCTTGCTGGGTCAAAGCCAATGATTTAGTCAACTCATACACATCCACCATCTAAGGTGTAATTGTGAAACTTGACATTCTTAGCTCTTTGTTAATCTTTATGGTTAATATACAATATTAACTGGCCTCCCCTCATATTTTAATATGTCCCTTAATTGGTTAAACTCACTCGGTGGAAGGATTATACTACCATTACTGCTGCTTTGCAGATATCCATGGTCTTGTCCAAAACTTTCTCTTTTAAAAGCTGTAGTATATGCTGCTTCTGTCCAAAACCAATTCTTTGTTTATTCAGTGACACCTCTTTCTTCCTAAAGGTGTATGAGTATTTCATCCATAGTGTATTCTATTTTGTTATAATCCTATGTGCTTTTCGTATATTTTGTCTCTGTGTGTTTGTCACATGGTAGAACACCATTAAATGTGTGTTCTTCTTTTTTCCCCTATTAATCTGGAGATGTTAATATTATAAGCTAGGAGGTGATTGTTCTTAAACCATTAAATAGAATAATTTGAGATGTACTCTCACCTTTTAAGAAGATAAACTTAGCATTTTGTTTCCTTCAATATGATTAACTACAGGCATTTCTGGTATCTGCTGAGCAGAATAAGGACTCCCATTTCTGTGAAGTAGTTGTCTAAAGATCAGAAATAATTACTTTATACATTAGCCTTCATGGCCTGCATGACCTGGTTAATTAATTTTTTTCTAGGATAATAATAATAGATAGATAGATATATTTGGAGATGTGCTTCATCATTAAGTATCTAATTGACCTCTAACTTTAAGA